GGGAGACTCTCCTACCTCCTCAGCAGCACTAAGGATGTCCGACTGCAGCTTAGGTCTGCTCCCCGCTGGCAAGTGGACATCCCCCAAGGGCTGCCGGGCTGCCAGAGTGATGTCTGATTGCCATCTTAGGCCCAATCTCCCTGGGAGTGGGCCTAAGCCAGCAGGTAGTCATCTCCCGAGGGGTCCCAGACTGTGAGAGGGCACAGACCAGGCTGAGGGACCCCCCTCCCCCTGAGTGCACAAATTTTTGTGCACCGGGCCTCTAGTATATATATAAAAGCTTAAGTGGCTGGTTCAACTGACCATTAGTTATGACGAACACTGACCACCAGGGGGCAGACACTCTGACTGGTAGGTTAGTTTGCTGCTGGGGTCCAGCCGATTGAGATTGGGTGAGATAGGCCGGACATGTCCTGGAGCGCTCCCATAGTCTGTCTCAGGCCCCTGATCATGCACCAGTGTGAGGGACCTTACCAGTGCACTAATCCGTGCACTGGGCCTCTAAGTGTGTATGTGTGTGTCTATATATAATTACATTAAGCTTTAACATTTTATTATGGAAGACTTCAAACATAGAAAAGCCAACACAATAGTGTAGTGAGGTCCCTGTACTGTTACTGAACTTCCACAGTCATCATTCTTGTTTCATGCATACTCCAAATATTATTTTAAAAGTTATTTTATAATATAATTTACACAGCTTCTCATGCATAAATATTGGAGATACAATATTGACAAATGGATGTACTGTTCTACACACATTTATCTTGATTATTTGGGGAATTTGGAGGAAAAGGGACAGCACACTTTATATTTCTGGTACTGTACCCTTCACATCTACATGCTCTGGTTTTGTGTTCAGGGTGGAAAAGGATAGCCCCGCTCTCTTGGAGGAGCCGATCTTGAAGACCATTGCCAAGAAACACAATAGAAGTCCAGGGCAGGTGGCCCTGCGTTACCAAGTGCAGCGAGGGGTAGTGGTCCTGGCCAAGAGCTTCAATGAGAAGAGAATCAAAGAGAACTTCGAGGTACAGGCTGGTCACTGTCTCTCCAGAGTGGGGAATGGGTGCTGTACTAGGGGCCATCTCTCTTGCCTTTCAGCACGTACCCATGTTCATTTCTTCCCATGCATGTCTCCCTGTGCTATGAGGGCAGCTTGGAAGGGTGGGAGAGAGAGCAATGGCCTCAGAGTCCTAGGTTTTATGGTCTCCAGGCCTGGCTTTGCTGCTTCCTAGTTGTGCGAACTTGAGTTTATTTCATTGCTGTTTTTTCATCGGTTTTAGGAGTCCTTCTATGCAGTAAAGACTTCTAAAACCCTGATTCCTCTCTTTCATCTTCTCTGCCAAATAAATTCCTGTTTATATTTCAATATCAAACCTAAATAAGATTAGCTGTGAGAGGAAAGAAGATGGCGGCGATATAGGCAGACGCGTCCCAGGTCGTGTCCCGGAGCAAATGGAGTGAGCAGCTGAAACTAATAACACCCACCCCAAATTGGTGAAATTGCTCAGCTGGTGAGACAGTTTGCAGCCGGGAAGGGCAGAACTCCCCTGGAAAGGAAAAAAAAAAACAGGGATTTGGGCAGGAAAGTTTGCCAGACCTCTGAGCCCAGACGGTCGGAGGGAGACAGCGTGGCAGCCAGCAGCGTCC